TAAACCTAAATGATGCCATAATAGGGGTTGTTAGCTTATAATATAAACATGGCTTTTATGCGCATATTATTTTTATTTAAAACCCCATTTTTATAACCTACTGTTATTTAAACACCGCGGCCGGATTACCCCGCGGTAATCCTGTCCCTGTCTAAACCGGCGGCCTCTGTGATATGACCTAATAATATGTACGTACGGTAAAATTCTTCGTCAATGCATAATTGAATGGAAACTTGTTACGCAACTGCGTGATGTAGACGCGTGCCTATCTCATTTATCTATCAGTTTTCTTGTGTTCGCGGCACGAGCTTTGAAGTGGGTACTGGGTATGCATTGGGCTGAAGTGAATGGTGCATCATTAAATAACCAACATTTACTTCTTAGGACAATTATACCGTGTAGAAGTAGTATAAGAATATGTACTATCCCATATCGTGACTGTCTCGTTGGTTTAGTAGTTGTAGTAGTGCGACTGCTGATAATGAGGTCCTGGGTTCGAATCCCGGGTCGGGTCAAAAAATCAATTATTGTGTTATTCTGTAAAGAAATTCTCAGTAGCTGCCCGGAGTCAGGAAGTTGGCGGTGTCTCACCCCCGTGCCTCGGAAAGCACGTAAAGCCGTTGGTCCTGCGCCTGATCTTTCTCCCGGTCGTGTCGGTTTACCGTCCCATCGGCTTACGAAAGTGAGGGAATAGAGAGCGCACCTGTGCTTGCGCATACACTTGTGCACTATAATCCTGTCCTGCGCCGATGGCTAGCCTCCGTTGAGGCCGGCCGCCGTGGCCGAAATTCGATCTGGAGGACATTATTATTATTGTATTACCCCATATCGTTCAGCTAGTGTCGTAAAAGAACACAGAGAAAAACAAGCCTAAGAGATGGGCGGCAACGTCTTCCTAATTGTAATTTAAAAAATTAAAAATAAATGTAGTAAAAAAAAAAAAAAAATTAAAAAAAAAATTGTGAGATATTCACCTTGTCCCGTAGGTGTCGTAGGAAACAAAACAGAAGATGGGCAGCTGCGTTTTCCTTCCTTCTACGAACTCGCCTGCCAAGCGTGGCAACTCTGGAAAATATCCCCTTTATGTGGCAATTTATAGGGGAGCCCGATTCTCGGTAACTTTTGGTAGAGTGTGTGGTGGGTGGTGGCGTTGTCGTCGCGCCACTAGCGAAACACACCGATGCCTAAATCGCGCTATCAAAATTCCGAATTATAAATGAGAGACAGTTTCGCTCTTGCGTTTTTGATAGTGTAAAACAAAAGAAAATTGATTAATATTCGAATACAACATAAATTTATTTGTTTGTCCATTTTATTTTTGCTGAAATAAGTATTTTATATGAAATATGTGTAAGTAGTCGATACATTTATATCAGTATGGCGTTAATCCCGTATTAAATCCCGTGTTTTTTTAATATAGGTAGAATTAGGGATAAAAACGAGCACACAGTCGACCTGATAAAATGCTGTGGCCCATAGACATCTATATTTATCATCGATTAAGAATCAAAATGTAGATATGCGTTGTCACCCCTGAGGACTAAGATGGAATGTCTTGTTTCCAATAAAAAAAGGTCTCTACACTCACCATACGAAACATAGCAGCATGAAGTTGCTGCTATGTTTCGTAGTGGTGAAGTGGTCTTATCCCGGTCGAGCCGACCCACCCTTGCTGTTACTAATATAGCTGCAGTGTGGCTCTACCACGTATAAATTGAGATGTTGATGAAATTGAATTATTTTGACTGTATTAATTTGTTTAACCCCTTATGAGATAATCCAAGGGGAGACCTGTGTTCAGAAGTGGACTTTTATAGGCTTGATACAGAATCAAATGAAATACAAATAATTTGCTTATCTACGATAATGTAGACGTAGGCACTGGTCTATAAATACTTTAACGAGCGTGTATTCATTAAAATTGTTTGTTACACCATGAAAAAAAAAAACAACTTCTTTTTAGGCAGTTATAATAATAACTAGTGTTATCGAATACCGGAGTATTTTTATTATTAGTTTTATAAATCGATTGTTAGAATAGAATAGAATAATTTTTTATTAAATATAGATCATAAATGTAATTCTTATTGAAAGTAATTTTTTACTTTACCAGTGGTTCGAAAAAAACTCTGTCCTGGGAAGAACCAGCAAGAAACCCAGCAGGACTTTAACTGTTACTTAAACAACTTTGACTGTTAGGGAAAGATCACGTTATGTCACATTAAAAAAATATTTTTTTCCCGAATTTCTCCGATGATTTATTCACTGATACCTTTCCGTCTCCAGGCTTTTTAAATTTATATGAAAGTGACATCAATGATCTGCCATTAGGATGGCAAAAAGCATTTACGATGAAGCCAACACTAAAAAAACAACAATTTTAGCGTTATAAGATTTATGTGTTGACGGCTCCGTGGCGCAGTACCTTAGCTATCAGTACGGAACAAGTATTTGGTGGTATGGCTTACAAATGATTGTTCTGGATGTTTATCCTTGTGAAATTTATGTATGTTAAATATCCCTCATATTCTCCTCGTAGTGTGGAGGTAACGTTTTTTTAAAGATAACAAAATGTGTACTTATGTTTATGTTATTACTACCGGCGTATATCAATCTAACCTCATTAGCTTTTAAAATAAGATACCTATATCTAGTTTTTGTAGAAAATTTGTAATTTAAATTAAGAAGAAATGCGGGTGGTCTTTTCTCCATAGAAACGCTCTCGCCTGTTTTCTTTCTGGTTTGTGACCTTATAGCAATGATTTTTTTTTTACAGTAAAATAAATATCAAACTAATCTATGACCATTGAAGTAATATGTACTTCGTACTAGAACAGCTATTTCAAACAAAAAATGTGCTCTACTCTGTGTTCCCGCGGTTGGTTTCTTTACCATAGAATAAACATAGGTAGAATGATCAGTGGGTAATATATAGATTGCACTGTTAAATAGGTAAATTATATCGAGAACAATTTTTTAAATTTTGTCATTTAATTTGTATGTTACATTTGCTTATTTAATATAATATTACATAATATTATATCACAACTACATTTTAATGATATTTTTATCTCAATATTTTAAAAGTTATCTATCTCAAATATCAAAAAACATACTAAATGTATGTTCAACAAAACTTGTTAATATAACATTGTTATTAAATTAAAAATATATTTATTTAAATTAGAATAAGAGTCGTTTATAAATACTGGGCACGCGAGAGTTAAAAATTGACGAATTTATTCCACTTTGACTGATGTGGAAACCTAAAAATAAAATATAAGAATAATTAGCAGATTTAAATATAAAAATTTGGCCTAATTATGATAACTCATACGTTTCTACAAAAAAAAAATGTGTATAATAATATATTCGTCCTGTACTTAAGTACCCACAGAAATGTCGCATCTGAACAAATTAATTTCATAATCTATATTACGTGACACGAGATGGCGTCTTAGGAATAATTTGTTTTATTACTAATTTATAATACTTTTTTATTGATTAAGTATCTTATTAACCAATAAAAAGTAATTCCTTGGTTTTTACTGACATTTCTTGAATTATTTGTGCAATATCTTAGTACGCACGACGACATATTTTTATCACGAGATTTTTTTTTAAATCAACACAACACGTGGCAACTCTACAAGCGCCTAGCGAGTGACTGATTAAAGTGCGGTGTATGCACTGCAGTTGAGTGGAACATAGTAGCTGAATGCAGTGTCGCCTCTAGTACGTAGTACATAGTAGCTCAATGTCTATGACCCTATGTTTTTTTTTCGATGATATATTATCTTTATAAGCACTAGAACCCTTACAAAATGCTCAAAGTTGCTTATTTAGACTGCTGTCAACAGAGGTCTAGTGTTAAAATTTGATAACAAATACTGAAAAAAGAAACACAAACTTAGAGACAGTGTATAACGTATATCCTTCTTATTCAGTTAATGAAATATCTTTGAAATTGGTCCTATATTGGAGGGTCCTATATTTTCCACGTGGTAGAGCCATGCTGCAGTTATATTAGTAGTATAGTAGTAGCACGAATGGGTCGGCTCGACCGGGGAAGGACCACGCTCTCACAGAATACCAGCGTAAAATAGCAGCTTAATGCTGCTGTGTTTCGTATCGTGAGTGTAGAGAACCAGAGACCCTTTTTACTGGAAACTAGGGATTCCATCTTAGACCACACAGGTGACAAAGCATCTGCATTTTGATTCGTAATCGAGAATAGATGTCGAAATCTATGGGCCACAGCAACCACTTACCATCAGGTGGACTGTGTGCTCGTTTGTCATAATCCTATAAAAAAAAAGAAAAAAAAGGAAGAAATGGTAGAGAGCTAAACCTCGAGTTATGCCTTTTTACTTAAGCGTTTAATTAGGGTTTCGCACAAAAAAAGCCTACAAAAACCTCTCTGGGTGGGCAACACCCTTTTTATACCGAATTTAAAAAGGAGGTGTTCAATTCGACTGTATGTTTTTTATGTGTGTTACCTAACATAACTTTTCTTTGAGTGAGCCGATCTTGATGATTATTTTTTTTTATCTGAAAGTTGGTGCTTCTCGCGTGGTCCCATAATTAAATTTAATATATTTTGGTTTTTAACGTATTTAATTGACTTGGAATACATTGATGATGTTCTCATTCTCTGTTATTGAAGACGGTGGTACAATTTTTTTTTTATTTTACCACTTGTTACCAATTTCTGCCGTTAACTAGCAGTGCCTGCATAGCTGTGTTCAGGTCTGTAGGGTATAGAGAGTGGAGAGAGATTATCGTTACAGGCGGTAAGGCATTCCATCTTGGTCTTCAGTGGTGATAACGCATCTGTAGCCGTTCTTTGCTTAAATTTGGCTGCAGGTGTCTATAGACTGCAGTAATTATTTACCATCACGTGGACTGTAAGTTGGCTTGTCATAACATTTTTATAAAAAGCACTTTGATCCCTTGAAGGTTTTTTATTGTGTCTTGATTGCGTTCCAAACTTTTTTCAGATCAGCGAAATCGCTCCGATTTTGAAGAAACATAACATCAGACTGATTGGTGTTGGTGTTGAGAGCGCCAATACGAAAGAGTTTCTCGAGAACAAATATTTCGATGGAGGTATGTTCATAATAATAATAATAAGTTATCCTTTTTTTTTTTTTTTTTATTTTTTTTGTCTTTTTTGTGTTGTTTTTTTTGGGCTCAAACCTTTTTTTTTTTTTTTTTACTAGTACCCCCCACAATTAAAATTAAACGCGATAAAATCCGTAGAAGTAGTTTTAATCAATGTGTAGTGTTCGCGTAAATATAAGAAATCATTAGTAATTTGTAATTTAAGGAAATTGAGGAATCATTAGTAAAAAATGTTTGATGCAATTTGGTTGACCGCGATCAATTAGTCATATTTTAATTTATTATGAAAACGCTTTAAATGTAAACTTAATTATGAATTTATTACGCAATCAAGCGTCGAATGAAATTGGGTGGGAAAGTCATTTCGTTCCCAAAATTGCGATATGAATAAAATTACAGATTAAAAATTAAATTTTTAACTTACTTTTAATATCTTTTTATTGAACGGTTTATTGAGTGTTGATTGTGGGATTTGATATGATAGGGCATGGTGTAATATACATATTAGGTAGCTGGAAAGCTAAAAATTTAACTTTATATAACTTTATTATAAAACGTGCTTCAATTACATATTATCATTAGCCTTTAAAAATGAATTAAAAACTAAATAAAATTAAGAGTACCCTTAGCTACCAAGGAGCATGCATGTGCAATGTGGGAGAGGTGTGTGCCAAATGGAAGTCCCCAGTCTCTGCTTACCTATCTGTGTAACAGGCGTGAGAGTTTATGCTTATGTGTAGGTATCTACGTTATGCTAAACAAACATAGCATAGTTATTTGAGGTCGACTATTGGAGGAATGTCTCTTCCAAAATGCCGAACCCAATTCGAAGACTAGTGATGGGGTGGTGGAATGCAGAGTAGCTTACATAACCAACGTACCGCCTACCCAGCGTTTTGAACCTCTTCTAGTTAAACCAGTTGGCATATCTTTTGAAAGGCTTTTATCTTTTTTTCACATGATAAGATTGACGAATTAGCACACAGGCCGCCTGATTGTAAATGAATGCAGTGACACATAGACATCATTATCAATCTTCAATGAAGAATCAAAATGCAGATGCGTTGTCATCCCTGAGGACTAAGATGAAATGCCTCGTATTCAAAAAAGTCTCCGTTTCTTTACACTCATATAACGAAACACAGCAGCATTAGCTGCTATTTTACGCCGGTATTCTGTGAGAGCGTGGTCCTTCCCCGGTCGAGCCGACTTATTCTTCTACAACCATAAAATAGCAGCAACGTGGCCACCACATATAAACGATATGTAGCAGTGATTCAAGAAAGCTTAATAGAAAAGAAGTTCTTCGGCATGTATTTTTTTCCAGAACTCTATCATGATGTAATATGTTATAGAAGAATATAAACGGCACGTTTTTTTTTCAGAACTTTATCACGTAGAGGACATCTCTACCTACCAGACTTTGGGCTTCAAGCGATTCAATGTTATATCCATTATAACTTCTTTGTTTTGGAAACAGTCCCGAGAAGCCATATCTAAAGGAAAAGGAATGGGTAAAAAATATTTACTTTTTTATTTTATTAGGGCAATCCCTTTAAGTTATAAATAACTCGAGATAGCTCATTAGATCAATGGTTGAACATTTTGCTTTGGCGCAGTTTCCTGCAAGAGTGAATGTCTTCACTGCTGGCCGTATGAGGACGCTCAAGGACGCTCAGCCAGCTATGGAGAGGGCTATGCTCAGGGTTTCTCTGCGTGATAAACTTAGAAATGAGGATATCCGCAGTAGAACCTGAGTGACCGACATAGCCCAAGAATTACTAAGCTGAAGTGGCAATGGGCCGGCCATGTAGCTCGAAGAACCGACAACCGATGGGGAAAAAAGGTTCTCGAGTGTCAGCCTCGTACCGTTAGGCGTAGTGTAGGGCGATCCCCCACTAGATGGAGTGACGACCTCCTGGTAAGACATGCAGGCAGTCGATGGATGCAGGTGGCTCAGGACCGTGCTTTGTGGCATTCCTCGGGGGAGGCCTATGTTCAGCAGTGGACTTGTGAAGGGCTGTAATGATGATGATGTAATTTTAATGTGTGTGTGAGATTTTGTATACTCGTATGTGTGGGTTGAGTGCGTGCGTACGAGTGTGTGTGCGTGTATGCGTGCGAAGGTGTTTAGTGTGATTTCAAGAAAGAACAAAAGAATTAGTAATTATGTGATGGGGTTTGTTATATTTTAAATTCATACTGATATGTTGTATAAATATTGGTTGGATTCGACGTCAGTACTCGCGTTTCAGGAGACTAGTATAATTAATAGCAAAACAAAATATAAAAATTCGATAATTTTGATTATGAATCATTACCGATTTACAGTACGTTCTACAGTGCTAAAAGTATACGGTTAAATAAATACTGGTTAAACAGTTTAAGAAGTTTTTAAGTCGTTTAATTTTATGTCGTAAGTTTTCGAACGAATAATATGTCAAAATATTTTACGTACATTTGTGCGAATTCGTTCGAATATAAAAACACCTTAGTTACGAAGATTGTAAATGCTAAAAATAGAACTATATGTTGTTAAGCGCCATGTGATTTACGAAAAATTCCGTACGGCGAATAATCAAACTCGTGCGGTGGGTGTTGTAAAGGGGTGTTTAAGAAATAATAATGTCCTCCACACCGAATATCGGTCATGACGACTAGCTTCAACGGAGGCTAGCCATCGGTGCAGGACATAATTATAGTGCCCAAGTGTATGCGCAAGCACAAGTACACTCTCTATTCCCTCACTGTTATAATCCGTTGGAACGGTAAACCGACACGACCGGTGAGAGATCAGGCGCAGGACCAACGACTCTACGTACTTTCCGAGGCACGGGGGTGAGACACCGTCAACTTCTTGGCTCCGGGCGGCTACTGAGAATTTCTTGACGGCAAAACTTAATTTTTTAATTTCTGTCCCGACCCGGGATTCGAACCCAGGACCTCATGATCAGCAGTCTAAGAAATACTAGAAAGATCTTACATATTATACAAGATGTGGTTATCTTTCAATGGGAATTTGATAGAAGGGCCGGTTAATGCAAAATGACCAACTCGAACGAAATTTTGGGGCGTAATTTACTCATCGAATGTTTAAGGTCCGTTGAAATTTCTATTATTTAAAAAAAACATTATAAGTGTGGAAAAGGGTTTTTTGTAGTTTATTATTTTTAGTTTAATACTAACGTTTTAAATGCAAAAAATCTTAGGTTTACACAGCGATCTAATCGGCGATGGTTTACAAAATGGCGGCGTCATATTAATAAAAAATGGCGGGAAAATGATACGCCACTTCGTGCAAATTGGTCCTGCGGACAGATTGTCGAATATGGAGATATTGGAGGTTTTATCTTGTTATAATTATTGTCTTGTAATTCGATTTAGGATTAGGTGGAGATTTAAAAGGGGATTGGGTGCAAACGGGGGGCGCTTTGCTGGTGGAAAAGGGTGGCAAAGTGCTTCGCCATTTTATTCAGACAGGTCCGGGCGATCACTTGCCTAATCAGGAAATTTTAAAGGTAGGTTCCTTAAAGGTTACGGAGGATGTGTCTTTGTCTAAAGAGATATTGTTTTAAAAGAGATATAGAAAAACGTTTTTTTTTAAATAACCGTAGAGAATTTGAATCGCCGAATATTTACACTTTATTCCTTCCATTTGATTTTTAGATGCTCACTTATTATATTATATGCCAAGTAGTTGCGACGTAATAGTATCCACTATCCCATATCATCCCGATTGTCTAAAAGGCGACAGAGGGAAAAAATCAGGAGATGGGCAGCGGCGTTTTCCTGGTAGCGACTAAAAATAAAAAAAAACTGTGGATATATGTGGTAGAGCCATGCTGCAGTTATATTAGTAGTATAATTGTACCACGAATGGGTCGGCTCGACCGGTGAAGGACCACGCTCTCACAGAATACCAGCATAAAATAGTAGCTTAATGTTGCTGTGTTTTGTATGGTGAGTGTAGAGAATCGGAGACCCTTTAGAAACGAGGCATTCCATCTTAGTCCTCATGGGTGACAACGCATCTACCTTTTGATTCGTAATCGAGGATAGATGTAGATGTAATCGAGGATTGATGGCAATCTGTGGGGGAGTTCTATGTTCAGCAGTGGACTTTAATAGGCCGTAATGGTAACGAACTTAAGGGGGTCTTAAGACAGAGGGTAGCAACATATCTATAGTAACTACTTAAAATAAAATGAAAAAATTTGATGCCTGCCTAGAGAGGTAAGCATGGCATATCTCTACACTACAGGGGACTGATGGTTGTTATGCGTTAATGAATTAAGTTACTTATGAATGTCATATCTTTATTATATATTTTTTTAACAAAACATGCTAGGAGAAAACTTAGATCAGTGATTTTATTTTCATCTTAAATTGATGTTATTAGGTACAAAATTAGTATTTTAAGTTTTTTAAATATGGCAGCATCCCATGGACACATGCAGCCAACTTTAAACAAAGGTGGCATATTATATTATGTTGTTTTTTTGCCGCTAAATATTATTGTTCGCACTGCTGCGGTCTGGTGTCTTATCTACAAACAGCCGGTGCAATTATAGGCTGTGTTGGATTCCATTTTAGTCCTTAGAGGTTATAACGCATCTATAGCGTATTTGTAGTTAGCTACAGGTTTCCGTGGACTGTAACTTGGTTTATCATTTCTGTTTAAATAAAAAAAAAAATATTAACGTTTCCAGCATTTTAACTTGGAGAAGGAATATAATGAGGAGACGATGGCCAACAGGGATCGCGAGAATCTGACGTGCAATGTATGTAGTATGCTATTGTCATTTAAATACTTATGAAAAAAATATGTCAGCATGATTTTATCTCTAAAAAATTGTCCATCATTATCATCATTTTATATTTTATACATTTTCATTCAATATATATATATATATATATATACACGACTCAAAGCCGATAATATTTTGTAGTGATATCATGTATTTTGTTAATGACTCTATATTTTTACCAAAAATTTTCAGCAGTGGCAGATTGATCAGTTGCGCCTCATCATATAACTGCAGTAGTTCCCAAAATTTGCTGATTACTTTGAACAGATTAGAATCATAGTATACGACGACTATCGCTAAAGTCCTGACGACAGCAATGTCAGTACTCTCGTCAATTAAAATTAAAAACTTTTGTAATTTCAAATCATGTACAAGATCGTTTTCTTCTGTTGCGACTATTCAGTTATTGATAGTAGCTTGTACCTTGGTTGATTTCATTTTAATAGCTTTTGCCACATTAGAATCAGGAAATAAGTTTGGAATAAAATCAGTCAAGTGATTCATCATAACATAAAACATAACATAAACACTCACGCCTGTCACCCAGAGGGGTAGGCAAAGACTACAGACTTCCATTTGACACTATCCTGACACACCTCTATCGCCTCCTTCACATCCATACACCTACGCATACATGCTCGTCGGTTAAGGGTACTCCTAATTTGGCCCGTTTTCAATAAATCGCTAATTTGGTCGATAAATTTTCGCCTAGGACGTCCCTTCCCGACTCTGCCATTCACTTCTGCAACATAAATTTTCTTCGTCACTCTTTCCTCATTCATTCTTTCCACATGACCAAACCACCGAAGCATTCCTTTCTTAATCCTGGTCACAACATCATCTTGCATTCTACTCTCGTGCTTCTTCTGCCACACCCAACTTTCACTACCATACGTTAAAGTAGGGACCAACACAGCATTGTGAATTGCTATACGTGCCTTTTTCGACACATTTTGACTCTTCACAATAAATTGAATGATTCATCATATTATGTGATATTTTATACTCAGCGACAAACGCTGCTAATTTGATTTCGGCAGGCTTCACCATTTGCGTCTCAGTAAGGGGGACAGCTTTATTCGCACTGAAAATGGATTGCTGCTTAGAAGTACAAATTCAGTTTCTTTTTGTGTTTATTTACCTGTGTCTTTTAAGGATAAGTAAGTCAGCTTTTAGAGTTGTGTCACAAATAAAACACTTAGTACTTACGAAGTCGATTTAAAATTACCGATGTTTTAACAATTCATATCTAAACTTTTGATTGTAGTGTTTTCGTTTATTTTTCTAAGGTAGTCTATTATTATCGGTGTTAAAGTCGTCATCACTTGACTCACTATTCATTGCTAAAATAGAAAATCACAGAATAACAATACACACACTCAAAAAGCCACCGTAATCTTCAAATAAAGAACAACAGATGAGCTCAGAGCCCTACGCCCTACGTATGTATTTGTACAGCATAGAAATAAATACACCGATTATTATAATGCAAAGTAAAAGTTGATTGTCGAATGCTTTCATGACATAACTAAACGCTTAACATCTAAATTTAGTCTTGTATCGTGTTCAATTTTATCTATTCAATACAAGGGGATTTCCCTATAATCGTCGTACAAAACGTTTCGGTGACTAGACAAAAAAGGGCGGCAAATGTTACCATGGTAAGAATAGTATTGATTCACGGAATAAACAGATTGGTGAAAATAATTTTTTATAAAAAAGTTTTTAATGGAAATTACAGTGTAATTTGGACGTTATACGTAGTAGAGCCTGCTGCAGCTATATTGTGGTTGTAGCACGCATGGGTCGACTCGACCGGGGAAAGACCACGCTTTCACCAGTGTAAAATAGCAGTTTAACAATGCTGTGTTTCGTATGGTGAGTGTAGAGATCCAGAGACACTCTTTTACTGGAAACGAGGCATTCCATCTTAGTCCTCAGGGGTGACAACGCATCTGCGTTTTGATTTTTAATCAAGGATAAAAATGTAGAGTAAATGTAGGTGGGCCACAGCATCCACTTATCATCAGGTGGACTGTGTGCTCGTTTGTCACCCTTATTTTATAAAAAAAAATGTTTACTCAAGTAAATACTAAATATGTTGCATTTGCATGCATTTAAGTTGAGAAGAATACTACCTACGTTGTAATTGTCCCACTCACAATATCTGTACAAATAATCCGCCATATTCTAGATTCTGCTTGGGTAATGTTCGTGTCAAATTCGGGAGTTTCCAGCATATGTTGCTTAACGGCAACTGAGTCGTTTGTCGCTGACCAACGATGTTATTAAAACTGGCATCGCATTCAGATAACTATAAAGCTGAATTCTGAATTATGATACCCGGTAGAGCCATGCTACAGCTATGTTATGGTAGCAAGAATGGGTCAGCTAGATCGGAGATGGTGCACGCTCTTATAGAATACCAGTGTGAATTAGCAGGTTAATGCTGTTTTATTTCGTATGGTGGATATAGAGAACCGGATACCATTTATACTGGTAACTAGACATTTCATCTTAAGGTGGGTCTACGCCAGAGGAGCTGAGCACAAGCTGAGCCGCTCTACTCGCGGTGTCAAGTGTGAACGTACAACGGACCTACAACGTGCAAATCGATGCATGCGATGCAAATCTCTTTGTATTCGAAAAAAACCGACAGTAGGCGGAGCACAGTCCAGCACGAACCAAACGCTCGATACGCGCTCGTTCGAGGATTGTAAGTCGGTCGACACTACACATGTCTGTGCTCGGCTTATGCTGCGCTCGTGCTCGACTCGTCTAGCGTAGACCCACTTTTAGTCTTCAGGTGTGGCAAGGCATCTGTATTTTGATGGAGAATTCGAGGATAGATGTAGATGTCTATGGGCCACAGCAACCATTTACCATCAGGTAGACTGTGCGCTCCTTTGCCTTTCTTAATCTATAAAAAAACGTGCCGTATCACAGATAATAAAGTAGTTAGAAATGATATTAACATTGGTGTCAAACACTTTCAAATTTTCAGACAGAGGCCAAGCCCTAAGTCCAGTTTGAAGATACGTTTCGGCCCTTTGGCGCCCATTCACGCTATTTGGTCGGAGAGACGATGTAAGCAGAGTAAAGTCTAATATTCCGTTGTATGAAGTTTTGTCTATATACTATGGACAGTGTATATTGAAATTGTATGTCTTAGCTATATGTTGTTGAATTTCTTATTATGTATTCTTATTAAAATCATGTGAAAATGACAATTTTTATCGATTTCAACTAAGTCTTGGCGTTGATTTCTGTTAAATATTGTAATTTGTTATTAATGTTGTTTATGGATTATATTTTTATTAAACCATAATTTAAAAAAATCTTTAATACATTTTACAATAAATAGACGTCGAGAACTAAGCTTGATCGCTTATCTTTAGAAATTTAAAGGTACGAATCGATTGTGTGGTAAACTCTAAGAGGTCAATGAAACTACGTCTTTTTCCATTATTACTGATATTTACCATAGATATGAACGCAGAAAGCTTTCGACATGGACCAATCATAATTTTAGAGAGAGCATGATTGACTAAACGGCAAGATCCATAATGTATTTTGAGATGAAGATTTATAATGTATTTGTATTTAATTGTTTACTACTTTTTAAAACTATTTAAACAAATTGTAAAATGGAAACATAATGTCGATGAGTGAAATTTATACAAATACGTTTTTAATGCTATAACAATAAAAATTACATTCCATAATTATAGATTTTATGAGACTATTCGAGATTTTGTAATTAACAAATAAACATCAGTGTGTATTCTTTTTATTTTACTGACCACCTTACGCGATCGGCCAAACGTCCATACGTCCAACGCCGAACGTTCGCTTGAACGCTATTGAAATTGTTCAAACTGTAATTATATAAACGTATAGACTGCACCAAATAAAAAATAAAACTAGATTTTAATTATACTTCAAAATAAAACAGTAATATTGTCAATGTGGTGCCAATTTACCGTCGCTACCGTCAAATTAGAGGCGAACCTGGTTGAATCATCCAACGCAACGCGAAGATTTATGTAGAGACAGGATTAATTTAAGCTTATTCATCACAGGAGAATATGATATGGTAATACAGAAATATTGTAACAGGAATTAAATGAGTACACCCGTATGTTAACTCATTAGAATTAATAATATTAACTATTAGTCAAATAAGTTCATACCGCGTCTCGCACGCGCACAAGCGCGGGCATTGCGTTATATTCTTTCGATGCCTGCGTCGGTACAAAGTACTAAAAGTCACGTTTTTACTGCTCCTACTGCAAATGAAACCCTGTGGCTACATCGACACTTAACTATCAGTTAAAAACCTTTTTTCTGTTCCCTCTGTTTTCTTTTTTCAAAAGTCAAATCGGCAACGCACCTGCAATTCCCCTGGTGTTGCGGTTGATATGGGCGGCGGTAGTCACTTAACATCAGGTGAGCCGCATGCTCGTTTGCCCCCTCTTCTATAAAAAAAAGTCAAAGGCCTAATATCAAAGGACTATGTTAGCGGCTTTTTAAACATTTTGACAATTATTATTATGTAGCTAGCTGATATAATTATATTGAAGCATAATAATGAGACTGTTTACGAATTTAATTTTTGTTCATTTATATGTTTGTAAAACCATTATTAATTACAAATTATCGTTGCATTAAAAACATTTCTTCCTTAAAATAGAGGTTATTTTATTGATTTGTATTGTGGCATGGACAATAGGACACACATAAAATAGAACTGTAATTTTTAGTAGATTATTTATTGCTACACTATGACATTTTTATATTTTGTATTATTCCATTTATAAGTTTTATTTGTGAAATAAACACTTTCAAATTTGTTTTAGCAATTTTTATTTTTTATTAATATTGTAAGTACTTCTCTTTTAAAACCTGGTTCATTTAACAGGTGATTTTAATGTTCTAAACGCAGCAACGTTCTCTAAAATAAAAACTTATGTCGAAAATTAAAACACAACGATATTCCATGTGAATTCACTCATTTTATCCGCTCAGACTCAGTAAAGAGAGGAAAAATCATAAGTTCCTCGGAGAAAGTAGTTTCTATCACCTGTTAATGAGGCCGGGATGAATATACATTTAAAACAACGTCAACGCCCATTTTTTTTTGAATTCAATTTTTTTCAGTCACGAAATTCCTGCGGATCCAGCATACTATGCGGTCGCGCATTAATGATCTCGCATAAATTATATAGGCTTCTGCATTTGCGAGATTAGATTCCCTATTGGTAAACGCAGTTTGTTTTATTCAGCTGCTATCAGAAAGGTGCCGCTGCCCATCTGGTTCAGTTTCCCCCCTTTCGCCACTTCGACGTCCATGGGATGATATGGAGTAGTAGATATTCTTACAAACTCTGACGCTTCGCATACACCTAATCCGGAGAAGAAGTCCGGAAGAAGTTCGCTCGGGCGATGACGGCCGAACTCGGACGATCGAATCAAACACTTGTAAAGCAGAGAGCGCGTACACCAACACGACCGTCATCGTTCGATAACGCACGAAAACGGCCGATCAACAGTCGAGTCCGAACTTGTTGGGATTTCTCGCCCAACCCCCGGCGTCTACAGTGCAAATTGAGTGTATTTATAGTTTAATTTAATCATTTTGTCTTTATTCCGTTGTTTCTGTCAGTGTTGTTATCTACCTAAACGACTATGGGTATTGAAAATAGAAAAATACGTCCAATGTCGGCACAAGTGGTACACTGTTGCAGTGTAAGCACATACACGTCCGAGTTACTCGTCCGGGTAGTTCTGTCCGCCATCGACCGACCCTTACCATTACACGATTAATTACGACATATAACCGTTGATAAAAAAATTAATTTATTTATTCAACACAACCCATCATAAGTCACCATAAGTTATTAGCAAGATCCCTCTTCTGTTATGGTTTTTATTTTTCGCATTTATGTTACCCACAAGTCAATATGGGGTGGCGATTTTTCGCGGCACTACTCAGGCAATGAATAGTACAGTGTGAGTAATTATTTATTTCTCATCGAAACGAACTTTTTGACATTTTTACCTTTTCCTCTCGTCGTAACTGTACATAGACTGTAGTTCGGCATCAAGTAATACAACTTTTCATCGTCTACATCATGATATATCATATTATTGTCGGCGTCAAATACAACGCTAAATGGCGTGCCCTTTCCAATTGCACCTAATTCAGTTAAATTATCTTTATTATAGTCCAGTATGTAAACACTTCTACTACCTGGTTGAATGAAGTGCACATCGCCTTTTTTATCTGTGGCTAGAGAGAATATTTCGTCTATAAAAAATTCCGCGGTTTTGGTACCATTCTTCAGCCTGTAAATCATCGAATCACTCAAAAAGTATATATCGTTCTTTTTATCGATAACAAAATCATCGACGTAGAAATTAGATACTGCATTAATACTTTTTAATTTATTCTTTTCGTACGTAAAAATGCCTTTCGATTTGAATTCCGAATAGTAGATTTTATCTTTGTATTGCAAATGCCAAACGGTTTTGTCTGATAGGCCAATGGATTTGACCGTGTTCGTTTTTGGAATATACTTGTGGATGCCGACGGTTCCAGACATGAAAACTTCTCTTGTAGATTGGTCGACGGCACGGCCGAAAGTGAAACCGATTTTCGGGATATCTTTGAATTTTATATCATTCAAATCGAAAGCTCCAGTGTGGTCTATCGAACGGTTTGTTTGATAGTGAAAGTAGAGAATGTTGGCAGTTCTGTCAACGGCAAGCTGGCCGGAAAATTTATGAGCATTGAATACAGTGGAGCGACTATGACACAGTCCGTTGAAGCAGGCGTGGCAGTGCGGGCGTCTTCTGACTGTCAATGCACCAGATAATGTCGACAATAGAAGAATGACTTTCATTTTTGTTCTGTAAAAAATAAAATATTTTTATTATTTTAAAACGATGGTACATGCTTTTTGCAGCGTGAATGGGCGGCTCGACCCGGGAAGCACCCCGCTTTTAAATAGCAACAGAATCAGAATTTGCCACTCACGACGAGAAACGTAGACCCTTTTTACTGGTGACGAGGCCATCATAGTGCTCAGGTGGTATGTGGCAACGTATCTGCAATATGGTTTTTAATCAAGGTTAGCAGTAGGTGTGCTCGCTTTGTGATCCTTGTAAATAGACCAATGTATATACAACTTAGTTATGTTTTTTCTACATATTTAATACATGAAATCTCACGAAGAGACTACGGACTTCAATGTGGCACGATCCTGACTCACCGTGAGTGTTGCAACTATATTATGGTTGTAACACGAATGGGTTGGCTCGGGGAAGGTCCACGCTCTCACAGGATATCCTATGGTGAGTGTAGAGGACCGTTTCAACCTCAGGGGTGAAAACGCATAGCTCTGTTTGGATTCTTAATCGAGGATAAATGTAGATGTCTATTGGACACAACATGTCAGAAATGTCTGTGTGGTCACCCTTATTCTACTTAAAAGAAACGAGCGAGCCTTACAGTCGTCGCATATGATGTGTAACATCTGACATCTCACCTTGGTAATAAGCAACATTAATATTATATCCTGAAAATGAAAGCTATTTGTTTTTTTTTTGAATCAAATTAAATATATCAATTGAGTAGCGACAGAAATTAACCTCAACATTTAAAAAGCTAAGTACTGAAATATTTTATTGGAGTAATTATTTATTAATACTCATTTAAATTTTTACCAATGATCTGCACTTTTTTCAGACTCTTATGACTTACAGTAAATAGATTTATTAATATTGTTTACACATATAAATTAGTTTATATAACAGCATACTACTACCACCGCGTACTCATTGATCAATTCAAAGAGCGCGCGCTTCCTCGAATTCCTGTTACAAACTTCCGTCCCTTTTCACGAAATCGCTCCCACATATTGCGGGAAAGCGAGATGAAAGATGTAAAATAACAACCATTTTTCACAGCGATATAATATCTATTTTTTTATAGGACAGGGTCACAAACGAGCACACAGT